TTCGATTGTCATTATCCGCTGGACTGTGGGATTCATATTTCTACGAACGCGATTAAAAGTAATGGGAAACTTTTAATCTTTGCTTGCTTGTTTAAATTTCTCATAAACGCACAGAAATTACTATCGGTACTAGTTTCGAGCGATTAGTTTTTTGGTCCTTGTACGATGGTAAAAATTATTTAACGCATGAAAATAGAGCAGCTTGAAAAGTTGAACGAACTTCAAAACGTCCTTGCCTTAGATTTCCGAAAAATTAATTGCTTGAGCAATTAAAAAGAAGAAGGCGCTTTGTTATCTTTTAACTTTTACGACGTTAAACCGGCGTCGAGTATCTCGCGGAAAGGGGTTGAAAAAAAAAATGGATAGGAAAATAATTTCAGCGGGCGTCCGCAAGCGGAATTGCGATGGGAATTGGGCACGTAGGCAGTCGAGAGGTGGAAAACGAGCGTGGGCTGCAAACCGGCCATCGTGCAATAACAATAACGACGATCGTACTAACAATCGCGAGGACGAGGATGACGGCGTTACCGCGTCGATAATAAAGCCTCATCCACGGGACAATCGAATCTCGGGTAGAGGACGAGAAGGATGAGGACGCAGGAGAAACGCCAGTTCGAACGCGACACACGCGCGAATAGCCCTGATTTTGTTGCAGAGTTCTCGCGGCTCGTTTCAATCCCTTCTCCCCCTTTCCGATTGCCAGGCAATCCGCCTGGAATAGCCTTAACACTCCTTTTCATACCTGAGAAGATCTTACAAAATTGAGAGAAATGTCCTGGATTCTACCGTGACGAGAGAACTTTTTCGCCGACGAAAGAGTAAATTCGCTTCGGATATCGAGAAGAACGATACCCACATTCAATCGTTCGCGCATCGATTTTTCTCGAATTGAAAAATTTCATTTGGTAGCGACGAATTATCGTCGAACGATACTCGGTCCATTCCCAATCGCCGATGTTTCGCCAATCAGAACCAATTTTCCCAATTTTACTATCGTAGTTCGGATTTTTAAAGCACTGCGAACCTGTCACACCCGCGGGACAATGTAATTTCTCTCCCCCTTTCACTCTGTTTGCTCGAACAAACTAGTCGTACATTCGTCGCGTATTTTTTTTTTTGTTTGTTTGTTTTTTCTCTCATTGCGCGATACCCGAGGAATTTAATTTTCATACATAGTATTGAAAGCCTGTGTCCCGGTCGCTAAATTTGCGGGACGATCAACCCGTTTTTTCACGACGAACCGCATTATATTTGCTTTATACATATATATATATATATATATATATATATATATATATATATATATCTCGCTGGTCGTGCGGTTAGATCGATTTATTTTGCATATTGAAAAGCCGGCCGTGGCTAACGGGGCGGCGAGTATTTTGTTTGCCCATCGTTCGTAAGAGCCGGGCTTTTGCCAGCCCCGTGTACAACACGAGGGTCATGAATTTTTCAGGAACACGCGTCACATTTTCCACGCACAGGTATCGTTTGATCGAATTCTTCAAACTTTCCCTTTGCTCTCTGAACCCCTCCTAGCCGCTCCTATTATTCCTCTTTTTATTACCGCGCAATTTTAGTTTCTTCTTTTTTTTTATCATCATTATCATTATCATTATCATCCTTCATTCCAAATTTACTATCAAACATCAGTATTAGAAATCAAAATGACGACAAGCTGACGTCACTATCGTGTCAAGAGTTACTCGATGCTTGAATTTAGAGTCTGCTTAAATATCTCCAGGGTAATTGCACGGATTGAAATATGCAGGTTGTTCGTCCACGGGTCGGTCACAGAGCACGGGCGTGTGCACAAATTTGCGCACGAGACGGATCGACCGGCTGATAATTAAGTCTCTTGGGTACGGAAGCAATCACGAGTCCCGCCTTAAGTATCGTCTGCTTGAGATTCGTCGGGCGGACGGAGTTACAGCCCGGGGAAGCCATGCGAAAAGCCGGAGGATGATAATTATCGAGCTACAAGACAACAGAAACCTGTTGGTTGTCTGTCGTAATCACCACTGTCGCAAATTTTCCTATAATGTGCAACAACGTAGCGATACATACATAGCGACAGACAAAACTAAAAAAAAACTTTGGCGATATCAGACACGTTGGTTGGATCAGCCGTGTTTTTCCCGTGTCTCGGATGATTGACACAGTTGGATCATGAGTAGGCTGAATGTCGTAATTAGGTCTCGCGAGTACAGCGGCTATACTCGTCAGACCGCTCGATCACGGTTCCTAGATATCGGTTCGGTTGTCAACAGATGTTTCATCGGCTGGTTCATTGTTAGCGAAACTTCGGCAACGGAAACGTCACCCACGTGTACATCCACGTCCTGGTGAGAGAAGTTCTGACGATCGTGTGGACAATCACGTTCATGAACGTGCTGTTGACTCAATAGTTGGCTGACCGTCGTCGTTCGCTTCGTATCTCGTACGCCGAATGATTCAGTGGTATCTCCTTAACTAGTCCAAGTTTCGTCCATAGAAATTCGCTCTAGAACCTTCGTTTGAAAAGATTTCGAGAAGTCGCAAGATTTTAATTACATATTTAATTCAACTGGTATGACCAGATCTTTGAAATAATATAAGTATCATATAGTGAATATCTTCCTACGACACGCAGCGGTTACGTTATGCTACGTACAAATTTCTAAATTCTACACATTTTCTAAAAAAAAAAAAAAAAATATAAGGATAGTTTGACAATGGAACAAGTGGAATTTCGGGAAGGAGGATCGGCGCATCAGGTGCTTTAACTCGGTCGTTTCCGAGCGAACGCGTCCAATTAATAAGGCCGCGAACCACAGCCTGGCCCCAATACCGTGCCCTGCCCTCGCCATACTATTTGCACATAGAGTCGCCCAGGTTCGTTGTCTCGTGCTTTCCCGTGCGCGACTACGAGACTCGGCTGGTCGCATTAAGCGTGGGTACACGAGTTGCCAAGTAGCTATCTGCATATTTACACGCGTTTCCCCGTGTACCGATAAAATCAGCCGCGCGCAACCTGCTCGGCTCGGAGGTGGCACGCACACACACACACACACACACACACACATACAGCAACCTGCCAGCGGTGCATTGCGGTGTCATAATCGTATTCCTTGAAATACCTCCGAGCATTTTGGAATCTCGTTACCGGGATGAAAAGGTAAACACGCGACGGAAATCGAATCGAACCACCACACAGACCCTCGCAACCCCTTCGAATCGAGCATCGATTACGACCGGCTTTACAACTGCCTCCTTTGAATACCCCTACTGTTGCTCGTGCGATTGTTCTCCTCTCCATCACAGCGACTACTAGCGTTTGTTTGCTAGAACACTGCGAGCTACGAGTTTCTTCTGTTTCTTCTTTTATAATTATTGCCCTTCTGGCAACTCGACAATATTTCATCTTTCGGTCTGTATCGGAAGGAAATTTTTCTTTTATCGAGTATATTATTTTAACGTAGCTGAAATAATTGTGTTTAAATGTACATTTATGATAATATTATTAGAACGATTCCTCGTCAACGCCCTCGTCTGACGTTCGATAGATATTCTAGTAAGTTGATCGACTGAATTAAAAATTGAGTAGATAATGATGTATGTTGTTATTATTAATGGCGATCTAATCGTGATTCTGACACTGGACATCGGAAAATGTATCGATATCGCGAACGAGGACTTACTCTGGAGAGAGCCCGTCGCAACAGTATCATCCACGGTTATATACGCGTGCACTTAACGCTTGCAATTTTTAATTACGCTCGCCGCCAGAATTCGCCGAAGTGCTGCGAGTTTTACGATAATTTCAAGCTATAATTCGTTCTGCCGCGCGATCCGCACCCGGTTAGGAATTCCGCGTTATTTCCTTTCTTTTTCTTCTTCCTCTTTTTTCTTTTTTCTCCATACCGCACAAACCGCCGGACAGTATGTGTTCACGATCGTGATAGTAATTAAACGCTTCCGTCGTAAAACCGCAAAAATTCGTGGAACGAGCGCGCTCCGAAAATAGAGGGGATGCGCGCGGTCTATGAAAGGAACGAGCGTGGCGAGTTCGAACGCGAGAGAAATTGACAGTGTCGTATTTAATTTTTCGCCTCGCGCGCCAATTAAAGTAAAACCACGCGGCCGTGGGTCTTGTAGGTATTTCGACGAGGGTCGCTGGATCGGCTTTTCGGTTGCGCGTGAAATAAATTCAGGGTTGGATGTGGCGAGTGGAAGTGGCTGGAATAAATCTTGCGATACGGTGGGAAAGAAAAGAGAAGAAAAGAGGGGACTAACATGCAGAAACGAGAACGTCTTCGCTCAGTTACCGAGTGCTGACGATCGCCAATATCCTTTTCTTGCTTTTTTTTTTTTTTAAATGACAAGTCGATTGGTAGCAACCGTGGCTGATTAATTAAATAATAGTCGTGATATTTTAGCGGAGAAAAAAAAAACTTTCCAATACTTTGTTACGTAACCTTTTGTTAACTGGTAATTTATGTATTAGGATGTCAAAAGGCTCCTCTCTTCCTCCGCGTGGTTCGATGGAGCCGCCAGTTTGGAAATATTCGAAGGGAGATGAAGGAGAGTGTATCCCAGCTGATAAGCGACTCTTTGTGCCGCGATAACTCGAACGTGAAGCGGCGGTTCAATGGGAGAAATCGGCCGGGCATGTTGGCTAGCTTGTGAATAATGCTCGCTTGTGCTGTCTTCCTTATATACTCGTCCGGTGCTTTTACACGAGCCACGAATCAGCGAGCGTCAGATATGCGAAAAGGTCAGAGGGCATCGATGGTGGAATCTTGCAGGATCGTAGGATAGGCTACGACTGTTTCACATTCAGCGAGCATTCGAATACTACTAAACGCGCGGTTGTGTTTCGCGAACGGCTGTGTTTGCCTTTCGCTACGCGAATCTCGAGACGAGTGTATCGATCCTCGTTAAAGCGCGCGCCCCGCGCGATACCTTTAATCAGCCAACTTGATGAGCTCATCTCCTAACAAGAATAACGTCGAGTTAACCTTCTTTGTCTGAAATTTTCATTTAACCTTCCACATCGTCGTGGAAATATCCTGGCCGCGTAAACGTAGACAAAGGTTTCCTCGCCTTTGTAACGAGCCTTAATCCAACCGTTTTTCCATCGCGGTGGAGAGAGAGAGAGAGAAAAAAAAAGAAAAAGTTCGCCTCCGAGGCTACGCACGGATGCACGGAAGAGGAAGACGCGCGAGGGTGGTTTGAACGCTTGTCCGTGTGAGAGGATGGTCACGCGAATCGGATCTCCACGGACGACGAGAAAAGAACGAAAGGGTCGGGTCCCCGGTGCCTATGTCGAGGTCGACAGGGCGAAGAGGATCGAGGTTCGGGGCACGAGATAAAGAAACGAGGCACCGGCTCGTAACCCAGATGCGTCCCGCGTGTTTTATTGCCCCGTTACGCGGCCAGGCCGACGTAGATGGCGAGATGGTTTCTCGCGTGCTCCTTCCCGGACCTCTGAAATCCGAGCAGGCCAGCGAGGAGCTCGCATAAATTCTCCTCGTCCCCGCGATTTTTCCTCTCTCTTTCTCTCTCTCTCCGCCGGTTGAAATTCGGTTTAATTGAGCCTGGATGCTCGGCGTTCCTCGCGAGTCGAGATAATCGTTCAGAGGTGGGGGAGAGAGAGAGAAAGGTTCATCGGTTCTTTTGTATTCCACGGTTGATCTCGGATCGAGGGGGAAAATGAAACCGAGGAAAGTGCTTGGAAACCGAGAGACGGATAAATGAATCGGTGCGTTCGAATTCTATCGGATGTAATGTACTTAAGGATCTTGTCGGAATTGTTCCTTGTCCCCAAACATTAGATGAATAGAGGGAGAAAGAGCGATTGAGATATTGGATGAATAAAGCGCGATCGTGTCTCTGCACTTTTTAAAACGTGGAATGAAAAGAAGCTTCCAATCGAGCCGACAGAATTTTTCCTAGCGATTCCCGCGCTTCGTGATGAAATCGACGAAGAATTCAATCGGCGTTTTGTTTCAACAACCGAAGTAACACACCGGAGGTGATCGGCCGGGATAATTTTAATTATTTGGTACGCGCGTTGCCAGGTTCGTCCACGCCGGCTGTTCACCAATGCGGAAGGTGCGCGGCCACGGTTTCAAGGTCACCGGCACCTGTCCGTTCGGCCGCATGCCGGCTGGTTAGCAACCTGCCCAGGCACTTTCTCCGTTTCCCCGGCTGATATTATGCCCGCACGCACCGGAGGCAACCGAGCGTGCTTGCCTCGTTATGCATTTTTCAACGGGGCGAGCGAGCGAGTCAGCGAGCGTCCGTCTCGAGCCAACCGCCCTTGACTCTGTCCATGGCCCTAAACCTCTCCTCCAATCAGCCTTCTCTCTTCTTCTCGCCTCTTGTTCTTTTTTTTTCTTTTCTTTTCTTTTTTTTTTTACACTCGGTCCCCGTTAATTTCAATTCGCGCAACGTATCAAAAACACACTCGAGCTCCCTTTTCGAGGAACCCGCTAACACCAAGTGCTTGGCGCAGTATCGCAAGAGACGTTCCGGTGAACTCTAGATTTTCTCTTTCACAGATCCGCGCGAACGTTGCGAAATATTATGTAGGGTTGCGGACTTTTATTTCACGCGTACGTGAAATTTAAAAGTAACCGTGCGGAGTGAAACGAGTGGAAGTCCACCTCCCGAAATTCATAATGCAATTTTCAATAGAATCCAAGTTCAGGGCCATTAAACGATCCCAGAACTGACTACAGAATGGAGTGGCCAAACAGCCAAAGTCTGGGAACGCGCACGATACCGCCATCATCTCGATATTACCCCCGTATTTTTTCCCTCACGCATCGCGAGTCCCGCCGCTCTGACTCTGTCCACGAGGGAGGGATTTCCTCGATGGAGGCAGCCGAAAAACTCGGGAAACATGCCTTTCAACTTTGCCGCGTATCCCTGCAGGGATACTCGCAGGTTCCGAGGGATGAAAACGGTCCAGAGACTCTCGGAGGCTTTTCCGCCCTTTCCGCGGTCGCCTAAGCGGCTTTTTGCGGGACGAAACGGTCCTGTTTCCCGCGCGATTTGGGGAAAATATGGGGCCTTGGTCGAGTCGGGTCGAGGGATTGAGGCGGCTTCTATTAATTGAACCTTCCTCCTTGTCTAAAAAAAAAAAACGAGTGGCGCGTAAGTGCTCTTTGACACTCTCGGCTGACGTATAAGCGGCTAATTGCAAAGGTAACCAAGTTTGGAAGGTGGAACGATGCCGTAGAACTGGGACATGATAGCGCGTAAAGCGCCGTGTCGCGTTGTATTTGCAAGATGCGCGCTCGGAGATCTCGAGATTTGTTTAAAAACAGAGAATCGAATTAGAAGACGAGGTAGGAGGTGCTCAAAGGATCGTTGCTTCAAAGGACTGAGTAACTTTACCCAGTATCCGTGGGAATGCAACGACAAGAGACAAGCCAGAGAAAGAGAGAGAGAGAGAGAGAGAGAGAGAGAGAAGGTTAATCTGGAAATTCGATTTCGAAATTTGCCCATCCACGGAAGCATGGAGCGAAGATCGAGCTACGTTTGCGGTTTTCGTCCTCTGGCAGGATGTATATCACGGCTGGTATAATCGAGTCGGACGGTTCGTTCCGGCGAGATTGAATTAGAAAGCGTGCCGCGCTCTCAGATGTTGTCGCTCCTCTTGACGGATTAAGATGGAACCGCGTTGGACACATAAAAATGGATGGACGGCCCCCGTGTGGGACGGAGTGGTAAAGAGCAGCCGAGGGGATCGGAAGAGCATCGAAATAAGGGACCCGGAGAGACCTTCGATCTCGCTAAGTAACGAGCCTTATCCTTTCCCACTGCGAACAGAAGCTGTGCTCCAGATCAATATTTGAATAAAGCAATTCGTCGCTGGAGAAATATTTGCCGGCGAATCTCCCGAGCAAACAACGAGAAATCAAGAACTCTGCTTCATCGGTGAGAAAGAGAGAAAGAGAGAGAGAGAGAGAGAGAGTTCAATTCCGGGCAGAAGGATCGCTTTTCCATTTCGCTAAAAGGGCTTGAGAGAATATCGTTACCAGGAATCGTTCCGAGAGTCTCGCCTTTGAACCGGCCATAATTGCTCGGTGCTCGTAAATTTCCGCGAAGTGTACGCGCGAGGACAGCGTTAATGATTCTCGGATCGCATGGGTAATGTCGGGATAAATCCTCTCGGCAAGGGAAGTGGAAAGAGCAGAGGCGCTGGTGGAGGCACAGCCTCCGGAACGACGGGAGAAAAAGAAAAATAGGATAGGACCTCGAGAGGCGAAAGAGAGGGGTATAAGCCACCCTACTCTATCTATTTCTATTTTCTGCTTCTCGGAGAAGTTATCGGGCCGGATGAGACTGTGCTTAGAGGGGGCTGGAAGAGAGAGCCGCCACGCCACGCCACGCCACGCCACGCCACGCCATGCCAGTCGCGCTCTTATTATATCGATGGCATGAAGCCGTCCCGGGGAAAGCCCCTGAAATATTTTCACGATTTTCCGACAAAGCGTTCTGCCATTTCGCGCCAAAGTGCTCGCGAATAGTCTCATTTTTTAACAAGAAACGCGGCCAGAGTACGCTGCTGTTCGCCGGCGAACACTTTCCACAACCAGGGGTGCGCGATCCCTTATTATCCCCTCCGGAGATTTTGCTCGAAATTTTTTTTTCGAACAAGGACACAATTCTTTAAATTCGACAGTCCTGTTTATAGAAAAGTCTCGCTAACGTTTCTGGATTATTTGCTCGCCAAGGACGAATATTAATCCCGCAATCACAAACTTTCAGTCTTCAAGAATTATCCTAAGAGCAACACAAGTCAGACTCGTGGAGATCTACGGAGGATCTATGTATGTACGTGCCTCCGGTTGAGCGAGACAGCCGAAGAAACGCGGCCTTCTCCAATGCGGCGAGCGTGGAATTGGATTGAAGAAGGGTGGTCTATTTACCGAAGAAGAAGGAGTGGAAGAAGCGAGATGGTTAACCGGTACACGAACGATATTTGTTTCCGTCCTCCGACCGACTGATTCTCCAATTCCATCTACACGATTCGTTACGTCTGTCGCCGCTCGTGTCTACAACGCTTACGAGTGCTATCTATCGCAGACGAACGATGATACTGCCTGTGCACGATGTACGATGAAATTTGATTATGATTCGTTAGGTCCTCCCTCTCGTCAAGTGGCCATTTACTCCTGGTTGACTCCTCGTCGATAATTGAAATCGATTCCAAACTACCGATTAACGTTCTTCCCTAACTTCCCAACACTTTCTGCGCCCGATACCTCTGTACACCTTCAGTTTAACTTTCGATTGAACTTCCATCGAGTTACTGGCAAGGCAAACTCTTCCTTGAAATCTCCTCGCAAAGAAGTTTTAAGAGACGAAAACTCCTAGGGTGGTGGATGGGAGGGTTGAGATAATATTTTTAAATAAGAGAGGAGGGGCGCTGTTTTACCTTCGTCGGAGGGTTGGCGGAAGTTGGCGCTCGCGGAGTCGTTGCCAACGCAATTTCAACTGGCTGGACGTTTGCCCCGTTAAACAGCCGGGAGAATTTTTCATCCGTTAAGACGCAACCCCCGAGAGAGAACCGATCCGAGCGTGCAACGACCACGGACTACCAGGAAGCTTTATCATCGTCGTCGTTGTCACCTGTCGGTCGGAAGATCGTTCTTCCCCGTTCTCGTCTCGGCAGCCTTTTCCACCCAGTTTTCCAGCTACAGTTGTTGCCACACCGAAAGGCGAAACGATGAAACTTTGGAATATTTCGAGTCCAAGCACGAAGTGGCTCCTCTGCTATTAAAACCAAGTACCCGCCCCCTCTTCCCCCCCGATTCGCATCCGGAGAGCCGGAGGAAAATCCGTACAGGCTGTAAATTCGTTTTTTATGCGCATAAAAAATTTTTCCCATGAATACGGATCGACAGGATGCAGTCCCAATAACCGATTCTAATTTTCTTGGAAACTTTTTACATTACACCGGACGTTACACGAGTCCTCCGCGATCTCGATCGCAGCGAATTTTCCCTCCGACGTGAATTTCCTATCGAGAGCGTCTCCCAGCTCGACATTTCAGAATCGTTGGAAATTACTCTGGGTCGCTCGGGATATCCGGAATATATATACATGTATAAGTTTAATCGCGCGCGAATCTTGGATCGTTTTTCGATTCGTTATCTATTTACGAATCTTCGTTCGGTCCCGCCCACCCAATATCGGTGCCAAAGAAAACGCTAATTGCCCGACTAATTGCGAAGACGACGAACACCACAGGCTGTATCTTGCATGACAAAGGTAATTGCACGGTAACGGAGAGACAATTAACTGCTCCATTCTCGCGGACAAATGGTCCCGTATTACCGGTAGTGTCCCCCGGTACACGCCTAAATACACTAACGGAAGAGTGCGGTGTGCGCGGACGCGCAGAGAGGTAGCTACGCGTTATTTAAGCGTTATTTTACGCGAGCTAGCTTTGCCTATGCAAATCCATGCTGATGGATTATGCATTCCATGCATATATTATAAACGCGACGTAGGTTACCGCGTGGAACCGGCGCAGAGTTTTTGGTCCCTTTCGCTTTGTCGAATGGCCCCTCCCCGCGCCCTTTCTTCTTCTACCGACGCTGTTTCTTTGTGAATGTCAATCTTTTCCGGACGCTAAAAAACTTCCTGCTCTGTCGAAGGAAGACGTTCAACTATTAAAGAACCGACAGAGGCCCTTTCACGGTCTTTGCACGAATCTTCAAATAAGATTTTGACAAAGAATGGAAAACCGTATTTCTTCAACCAATCGTTTTCTCTCGCTCAGATTTTATAATTTTATGAAATTTGAAAATATTACAGTACATCTACGTACACTGTGTGATAAATTAATGTGATAAAATTTTTGATTTTTAATGGATCAATCCTTCGAGAATCGGTATTTTTTTTTTTTCAAAAAAATTATGATAATAAAGAACTCTTTTTTTCCAATCAAACGCTATTATTTCTCTCGCTTAGATTTTATAATTTTATGAAATTTGAAAATATTACAGTCATCATCTACGTACATTGTGATAAACTACTTTTTGTTTTTTAATGGATCAATCTCTCAAAAATCGATACTTATAAAAAGATAAACAAATTTCAAAACGAAACAATCAATGCAATCGCAAAGCAGTGTACCTGAAACGATCTCCCTGCGGTCCATAAATCGTGTCAAGAGCAGAAACAGCTTTAGCAATGAAAATCGTTATCTTCTTACCGACCAGTTCGTAACCAGCTTCGCGAACGGGCAAAAGCGTTACCCCGATCAAAGTTTGAAAAATTGCGTTAGCGTGTCACGTTTTACAAACGAAGTGACGCTAATGAATCTCTTTGAGCCGTGTTTTCCGGGTAAAGAACAATGAAAAAAAAAAAAAAAAAAAAAAAAAAAAAAAAAAAAAAAAAGACGAAGGAGAGAAAGAAACGCGTCGCCGTTCACGGAGGAGGGAAGAGAATGGTTAATTCGTCTTTTTAACGTCAATTACCTCTCGGTCGGCCGACGATTTTTCCCGCGCACGCCGATGAATTGCACCGGGTGTCGAAGTAATGAAAACTAAAGAGGAGGAGGAAGCAGCGGCGGCCAGACAAGCGCCAATTAAAATGAAAATAGCGTAGGACGTAGCCGCGGCGAGCCCCGCGAAATAAACCGGGTCGAGAAGAGGGCTGTTTATAATTTCGCCGTGCTTTTTCGCGGCCATCGGGCATGAATGTTTCATGAGCTGTCCTGGAAACGTTCAAATCAGAAACAGCTGCGAACCGGTCGTAGATGAAAAACAGGCACTTGAAGAATTTCTAAAACAAAGATGTATAGGTATGTACATCTCTCGTCGAAATTTCATCGTACTTTGTGCGACAGACGATGGAATTCGGACGATTCGAAGATCTGGCAACACTCCGGTTGACGAGTGGAATGGTACGAAAAGAGGAGGAAAAAGGTGAGAAAAAAGCGGCAGTTTTTCGAAGAGGGAAAACGTATGGAGAAGAGATTGAATCCGGTGTGCAAAAGCGATAAAGCTTTGCACCGTACGTTCGACAAACGTTCCATCTTTCCGGAATCTGTCGCGCGACAGCTTTGCCCCGATCATCGGCAGCGGCTTTTGCTATTTTTTTTTCCCCCTCTCTCTTTCTTTTTTTGCCCACCCTCTCCGCTTCGCAGCTTCGACTGAGTGAGAGCAGAGAAATGCAGAACGCGCGGAGAGACAGCTGGTGGCGAGCGAAAAAAAGAAGCTAATACGCTGGCACGAACGCCCCACGCGAAATCAGAGCCACCGTTTGACGCGGAAAATCGTCAAAGGGGAACGACAACATTCCCCCCCTCACACCGTGCCACATTAAAGCTACATTACTGCAGCTACGCGCGTCGAGCTTTTTCCTCGCCGCGTCTCGCTCTTCCTCCCTCTTCTTTTTCTCTCTTCGCCAAAGCCAAAGCTACAGGAGAAAAGCTTGGGAGGAGAGCTCGTCGTGTGAAATGCGCCGGAGAGGGAGTCGTTCGTCCGGCGGACGTACCGGAGAAAAGCCCGTTAAAAAGAAAAGAAAAAAAAAAAGAGAAAGAAAGGAGTTGGAGATGAGACTTCTGTTTTTTTCTTCGCGCGGAACGCTAAGCTTTTTCCATCGATAAATCCATCTAGGTTTTCCATCCTGATCCGCGGAATGAGATCCAATTGAAAATTCAAGAAGAGAGATTCGAGATAATTGCTGATTATCCATTGCAAAACAAACGTACGTCAACGAAGATAATAACGAATTACTACGCGCAGGAAGGAGCAAGCCAGGTAGAAAAATAAATACACCACCGAGTTAAACCGGGATAAAACTATTCGGTGCGCGAGGGTTGTTCCATTGGTTGATTAATACCACAAGTAGACTCCAAGAACACCGAGGACTGTTTTCTCAGCACACAATCATATTCCACGAACACTCCTGCGCTCGATATTATACTAACGCTCGCCAGACTCTTCGCGAAGTTGGTTGCTACGTTAACAAAAGGAGCAACCACCGCCGGGATAGACGTTCCTCGTGTTCCGCTCTCGAGACCTACCTGGTCTCTGTGGATGTTGTCAGGGGAGAAAACAGTGGAACGATTTAGCCAAATGGGAGAAAGTCGGCGGCGTTCTCGCGGAGCCAGACTCGCCGGGCTCGCTTCCTGAATCAATAATTCTTAAAGGGTACTTGCACGTTACTTTTTCGTTCCATCGGCCCCCCCGTTTATTTGTCCGCACCCACTCGACCTAGAGAAAGGCCAGCGAGGAGAGCGAGACTAACCCTGTCTGTTTGCACCCCTTTTTGCCACCAGCGAAGAAAGAAGTTCCGACGTTCGGGAACCGGTGTTCTTTTCGGCCGCGAGGGGTGAAATTATGGCGGATGGAAAGAACGCGACACGAGAGTCCTCGATAGTCGTCGATGGAGGGCGAGGGGTATTTTCTGCTGAATTGACCATTAGCGCGGTTATTAGGTGGGTTCAGGGGTTCAGGGGTTCGCGTACATGCGCGTACACACGCGTATCATATAGATACATATATGTACGCGAGGAGGAAGAGGAGAAAGGCTTTAGAACCGTTAAAGCGCTTACGCTAGAGAGGCACTCTTTCTCTCGCTCTCTGGCAGACATGCGTGCGGGATACTCGCTAAGTGATCCATTCAGCGCTGTGTCTAACGGAATACATTACAGGAAGTAGCAGTTAAAAAACCTTTTCCCCTGGCAACCCCCGCAGCCAGTCCGTCTTTCGGCTCACGGGACGTAGTAACGTAATTCTATGCTCGTTAAGTGGACTAGTTATTATATCTTCCTAATCTGTATAACGATGGCACGCGTTTGGGATTCAGGCTCTATTACGCAGATAAGACCAGTTTCGAACAAGTACCTACCTAACTAGTAGTTCGCGACACATCGAAACTTGAAAGTTTAAACGAAACTCTAAAATTATTGTTGTTTTTCTCTTTTAAGTTTTTAAACTTAAAAGTCTAAGAAAGTTTAACTGAAACTCTATCAAATTTTATCAACGTTAACTGTCATCTATTTGTCGCTAATGACAAAGAATAAATGAAATTGAAAGAAAACCGGCGTCGAAAGTCGGAAATTCTATCGTGCACTTCCGAGTTCAAAGGAAGAGAGAGAAAGAGAGATGATGAACGTAAACCGGGGAAAACGTTACGTTAGACAGAGTTGAAAGTTGTTGGAAAGTTGTTACCTTGCGAAGCATCTCCTCGAGCGACTCCATGTCCAAGGCGGAGTTGTTGTTCTCCGTGCGTACGGGCTGAACCATTTGTCACAGTTTCTCGTCACAGTTGGCCGCAGTTCCTGATCGCACTCGGTTCACTCGCGCGTCACTAGTTCCTTTGGAGGAAACTTACTCTTTTCACCAAACGCCATCGCGCCTCGGACGCGAAGCGGAAACGAGCGGAGTACGCGCAACACACCGCGCGTCCCGCATTCGAGCACGATCGAAACGCAATTTCGTCTCGGTTCGAGCGCGATCGAGATCTCCTACGAGATCTCTCTCTCTCTCTCTCTCTCTCTCTCTCTCTCTCTCTCTCTCTCTTATTTAACGACCGAGACGAATTTCCATTATACCGTGGCTTTTCTAACTGGAGAGGAGAGAAAACGACGACTCGGCGACTACTCGGAATTGTAGCAAGTTTTAAAGAAGCCGAAAGAAAGAACAAAAGGATCGAACGACAACGGTTCGGTAGAACCAATTCTTCCTGCCACAAAGAACCGTTACTTCTACCACCGAACCAAAGGGACCGTAATTTCTACTTAAAGTTCCCATTGTGCTTCCGATCTTGGAAGCTCATCAAGAACCCCTTCGAGTCTTTAAAGTGCTTCAACGATCGCTTTGAGTGTTCAAAAACTGTTCGTCACAGTCGGACGAACAGAAGATGGAGAAACTGAGAGAAGGAGGATTGGCTAAAGGAGGGGGAAGCAAAGAGATGGGTAGAAGACGGTTGCAGACGACCTCCTATTTTAACCGGTATATAAATTACGAACGGCCGAGTCGACCGAAAGAAGACGAAAAAAGAGAAAGAGAGAGAGACTGCTCTCGTCTTTTTAGTGGTGCTTTCCAACTTTTCGTCGTGGAAACACAGCGAAACAATGAAAGAGAGAGAAAAAAACCTAGCCAGGAGGGCGAACGACGAGCATGACGAGAGAGCATCGTGCGACGACGAGAACGCCGAGGGTGTTCGTTCGCACGAATCGACTATTTTCAGGCGGAGGATATTTTTAAGCCCAGTATGGAGCACGGACGACCGATTTCCAAGAGGAAGAAATTCTTTCGAACGGATCGAGAGAAGAAAACGCAGCCGACGACCGATGTGAAAAGAAAACCGACTCTATCGTCTTTCTTCTTCTCTCTATTCCTGGAGGTACTCGCTTCTTTCCGACTAATTAAACCTATCCAATCAACGTGGCATCTGCAGTTTTCCTTCAACCGATTCTCCACGAGTTCGATTATTTATTCACGTCGCAACTCTCTAACCGTAAGTCCGGTCATTGTCGTAAGAAACAATCGCAGATTTTCAAACAGTACAAATTATTATGAATACTTTTGTATAGCGATTTAACGGATCCGAAAAGATGGGAGCAATCGAGAGATGGTTCCATTTGGCCGGCTACTTTCGCGTTGACGACCGGCTCGGAGAAGACGAAACGCGAATCGAAAGGCAGTTAACTGGTCGTATCATCCGGCACGTCGACTGTTCTCCACAGTTATACGAGTTTCAGGTAGTTTCGGGATTTTTACAGCCGCTGGACAGGAGGCTGTTACGACCTACCAGTAAAACGACGAACGTTGCCACGTTTTCACGCCAAGCGCCACTAAAAAAGCAAAAGTTCCGTTGCAAAAGCTGATTTAATAAAACTGCGACAACCAGACTAGACTCGCGTTAACGCTCGGTCTCTTGTTAATCCTCTCGAACGAATACTCATTCGTTCGATCATTCGAGCCGCCGGGATTCGAAAGTTTCGTTAATTACAAGGGGGAGGAAGAACGCGTCAACGAACGTACACCTTCGCCGGTTAATTTCCCGCGAGAGACGGCGGCTGCTACGCGAACGCGACACGATCAATTCAATTTTTCAGAATACGATACGTCCGACCGAAACGGAAATCACTCGGATGATTCGTTCAGCGAATTCTCGTCGACGTTTGATCGTTTTCGGCGCGACCGAGAGAAGAAGTTCGCGACCAGCAAAGGAAATTCCTCAATTGCCCGGTTCGACGTCACGCCACGGAGAGTTCGATGTTTGAGGAACGTTCTCGTTAATTCGCGAACGGACAGGACCGTAGACAGGGGCAAAGCGTCGGGGGAGTCGTTCGCAAGGGGCATTTAATTACCAAACGGACTCGGCCAACTCGACAGGGTGCTCTGCAAACACGTAAATACGCGACCGTTTGTCGGGGCTTTCGGTTTATTTTCGAGCCGAGACCATGCAGACGAGAGGCAATGCATTCAAGCTGTCTTCTCACAAAGGGTGGAAATTTCGCGACTCGTCGTCGAAAACCGGCTCCTCGTGCTCCCTCTAATTGCACCCTCTTCCTTTCTCTTTCCTCGTGGTGTATCGAGGATGAGGCAATCGAGACGATAACGTTCCTTTCTGTTTGCAGATCCCGCACGAGAGGCGTGGAACGAGAACGATCGCGTTGAAAAGGCGAGCCAGTGCTTTTCACTCGGTTAATCGCAAACGATCGGATCTCGCGGCGCTTCCGTCGATTCGCGAACGGTTACGACGTATAATAAGCGGATAGACACGGCAGAGGGGTGAGGTGGAGCGAGTCAAAAGCGATCGAGGGCGAAAGGTGATTTCGCTAAACCGAGTGATTCGTTTTTGGTCGATTTATCGCGCGTTCCGACGACGAGAGAGGAACCTCTGTATGTTTTCACCACACGCTCTTTCGAAAACGTTCTGTCTCCTCGTCTCCCGAAAGCGGAGCTTTTTCACGGTGTCTCTCTGTTCCACGACCGACCTGGTCGATCGACTGGGATGTTCGTTTGAGCTCTCGACACGAACCAAGCCGACGCGTTTTATCTCGACTCTGTGATCAAAGCTTAATTGAAAAAGAGCCAGGCCCACGGCCATCCCGCCTCCGCCGTCGCCGCCCAACCCCTATCATAGCCGAATGGAAACTGATACCGGCCGAATACGATCGACAATGCAGCCTTTTTCCTCTCTTTCGGCGCGTACAGCCAGCTTGCAGCACGCCGGCTTCTGTATTCGCGAGCTACCCGGTTAAATCGACAGATTAAACGCCGCGGACAAAGAGGCGAGAGAAAGAGAGAAAGAGAGAGAGAGAACGAGGAAATGGAGAACGGTTGCGCAACCATCCGACCACGTCCAAGGTAATTCTCAACGGTGACCGCGTAACTCTGATGTCATCCGCGATTAAACGTCGCCTGTCTTTATTTTTCGTGTAACTCTGATGGTCTTTATCTAGACACCGGTGATACACGCTTCGATCCGCACCGTCCATTAACTTTCTAACTCCATAATCCACCGATTTTATCGAAACGGACGATTTATCGAAAGTAACGAGACAACACGGCACTCTTTTTTTTTTTTTTTTGTTCTTTTTGCACAAATGTTTGAATCCAGCTCTACTCTCTCGAGCTCTCCATTGCCGGCACCTGTCGTCGTGACGCGAAGAAAGGAACAACGCCAACCATCCGCCAGCGAGATACGTTCGCAAAGGACAAAACGGTGACGAGAAAAGAGTCTGATGCTCTCGTTCGTGGATACAAGGGGCCCAGGGTCCTCGAGAGAGACGTTGGCTCAGCACAAGCTTGGTCGAGCACCCTGCTAATTGGCCAGGAACTTGAGCCGAGACCGATTAATTAAAGCAGCGCGAAAAAGATCTCTTGATTTTTCTCACTGGGCCGTGAGCCGTTTACCTGCTAATTAGTATCGTCGGCTACCGGGGGGGCTGCTAATTATCTTAGCGGCGGTCGACGCGACGCGTGTCGCAATCACCGGTAGGAAGAGAATCGACTCCAACGCCGGTCGATCGACAACGACCTTTCCGCTTGGAGAACCTGTCCATCTGTTTGCCACCTGCCGTTCGAGGTCGTGTTCCATGGTGCTCGACGACACTCGACGACGATTTATCCGATCGAGAACGACTGAAAGCCTGCTTTTCAAACAAGTTCACGCAGTTTGTGTAAAAAAAAAAAAAGAGGGAAAACAAGTTTGATGTACAGACAGAAGGTGGAGGCAAAATCGAAAACGACGATGAAGTTGTGTAGCTTGCCATCACCCTCTCGACTTCGCGGAACAAAACGCGTTACGATGTCATAAGCGAAAAGTGCGAGAGAGACTACTTCAGCCAACTACATTGATACGAAGTAAAACTTCTTCTGTTTCATCACAACGGATCCTTCCATGAAAACATGTAACTATTTCGTAAACAAATAGGTTTTCCGCAGGCCCGATAACATACTCACAATTGCAGATTGGATGAATAAATGATCGAAAAAAATGATGTTTGATAGAGAGAGAGAAAGCGAAAGTGTGTGCGGTAGCATCCGCTCGAATTCTGTTCGGTTCGTCTCGCGTCGCCGTGTCGATTCGCTCGTTAACGAAAGCAGGTCGCGTGCGCGTTCTCTTCTGGTTTTCGCGCCTCCAGCATACAACGCGAATCCCCGCGCGTCGTTATCGTAACTTCATTAACCATGCGTTAACGAAACCCGTTTAATTATGCCGGGCGAGCTAGCGGCGGTCGGACAGCGATTTTTAATTAAAAACCGCGTCATCGATCGACCCGACGACGCGAGCCGAATGAGAGAGAAAGAGAGAGAGAGCACCAGGGTGGAAAGTGAACGCGCGCACACGGTAATAACGAGAATCGCGGCGACAATTAATTACCCTTACCGGCGGTGGTGTCTTACGACCGTCATTTCACCGGCCGATTAAGCCGGCGAATACAAGCGAATTAAACGGCTGCACTTCCCGTTCGGTTAACGGTCCGGCGAACGACTCGCACAGTCGAGTGTCTTCTATCGACCGATATCCACCTCGTTCCTTTTGCAAACTCCACTGAAACGTTCGATTAATCCCGGCAACACGCGTTGTACGAGTGCCACCCTCGATATCCAAGATCGCGAACGAGGTATTTAGTTGGAAATCTTTTCATCGATAATCAGAGTTCCGAGCAGTCGATCCGAGAAGTAGTCATTCTACACGGCCTCTCCGTGGTCTCCAAACCGGTTGACGATCTCGTCGGACGGTTTTTTACTCGTCTAACTCACCAGCAGCACCTTCTCTACTGGAAGCGCGTGCAGCGTCTGACTCGCGAGGAATTTCGCGGAGTTCGCGTTACTGAGCGTCGAGGAAGAAGAAGGCCAAGGAGCGTGACACGTCGTGGCAAGGCCGACCGGAAACGTCCATCGCGAGCGCAACTACGGAAGCGACAGCGTGCCACGGAAGTATCACTCTACGTACGGAATCGAATTCAAGAGAAAGGGGGGAAAGAGGAGAGAGAGAGAAAGGAAGGAGTGAAAAGCAAAGTAGAGGGGGGGCAGACAGATCGCGTGTCTCTCGAAGCGATGATCGATCGAACGACAACGAGAGCGTGCTGCTCCGGTCGCGGTTCACGGGCCACTGAGAGGGAACTTGTGTTCTAGCGTCCAAGTTGTGCTCTGAGCCAGAGCCCGAGAGACAGGGGGAGCGACAGAGAGGCAGAGAGCGTGCCGTACGTCACATGCGCGTTGTAACCCCAAACAAAAATGCCGGCTATCCTCGTTCCACCTGGCCGAACCCCGGTGTCTGTCTGTCTGTCTGTCTCTCGTGTTCCCTCCCTCGTTGCTCCTCCGCCACGTTGGCGAACAACAATAACAACAGCACGCGCACCGCTCGGGGATGCGGCGGATCACTGCAGAATACGGAATCGGGAGTTCTGCCAAACTCTGGTACCCGCAACCTCTCCTGCCCTCCTACTACTCTCGTCGTGTCCTCGCGTGTTCCCTTCTTTCCTTCCCGTTTCTCTCTTGTTCTTCTCGCCTGCTGACAGCCGCTCGTAATCACCTTTTTCACGCGACTGCGGCAACTCTTGCTTCTCGCCCACTGCTTCTTCTCGGCTCGAGCTTCACTCCCACTTTCGTTCGCCGAGAGAGAAAGAGAGAACAGATTACGTAACGGATACGGTTCGCCGAGGGTAACCGGGTGTGTATCGGGATCGTTGAGAAGGTGGGACGACGACGCGAGATCTGGGTGCTCGGCACACACGAGTTGCGCAACACACGTGCGTGTGCGTGTGCTTTTTCGCGACAGGGAGACGAGATCGTTCGACACAGGGTGAGATTCTAACAAGTGCGGCCTAAACTCGGTAGCGGTCAACAGATGCGATAGTTGGTACGTAGTTTTCCCTCGAAACGGAAATTGAAAAATAGTCGATCGATGTAACCTGTGGATATTAGGTACGTGCTCCGAAAGTCGAAGCCGTTATATTGGAGTAAGAAGTCAGCATCTTCGCGACGTATCTTCGATAGGCGCATACCGTCTTTTTTTAAACCGTACGAGTCGGTCGTACCAAGTTACCTGTTTCCTTCCATCGATCGACCTGAATACAGCGCCGATAAACAAATGTGCGAACGGCTATTACCTTGGCACAGCCAGTTCCAAAACTGGTGAATATACTCTTGTATGGACTCACCTGCAACAGAAAGAAAAGGAAATTTCCACGTTAGCGCCTGAACAATTCCTCGAGTCGAAAAGCTTAAGAACGCAGTCGAAAAAGTTCCCTCCCTCGGTGAATCAGTAAAATCTCGTCCCCCTTCAAAGTACACTCGAGGCAGCAGCACGTCAAACGGTGTTTCGACGGTGCCGTGCCGCGTGACATTATTGTCCTGACGCGCGTCACCGCAAGAAACCGATAGCGGAAGTGAACACGAGTCGCGGGAAACGTGGCCAGGATGCGAGCAACCAGCTGGAAGCCAGGATATATCTCGGCCATCCGCGCGTCACCACGATCGACACTCAACGTCACGTCGTTTTACGACCGACGACCGACGACCGACGACCGACAGAACGTCTATAACCGCGTTTACGCGACGGCCAGCACGCTCTCCTCACTCGTCACGCGCTGTAATTGTCTGGAATGCAAGCAATGCTTTTTATTTCCCCTTTTCTTTTCTTCCTTCCTTCCTTTTCCCCACCCTCCTTCTTTCGAAGTTTAATCGTTACACGGACGACGGATATAACGCGATGGCCTTGCGAAAGTTATATCGCGGGGAGAAGACTCGAGGGGTGCTCGAGGGGAAGGTAAATTGATTTTAAGTGGGTTCGAAACCGTGAGTGGGTTTGATGGTTTTGGCAAGTTTTTATTTCGCTGGGCTGGCAACAGGGGGTATAAAGGGCTCGTGGAAACGGGCCTGGTCGGGTTTTAATTGCGCTATCTCTGTTTTTATGGGTGCTCGAAAGGTGTTTGGATAGGGTTCTCGGACGGACGAATGCGCAGTCGAGTGCTAATTAATTACAAGCGAGTTCTTAAAGGCGCCGAAACGAAGAGGCTTCTTCCTTTACAATATTCTGGCATCTTGGAAGGCAGAAACAGAGAGAAATGTAGAAATCGACTCTGTGCAGACACGTTCCGAAACTTTCTCTCGGGCCTCTCTCGTTCTCGACGATCGTTCGATTACTTTACCTGATACATAATCGAGAAACGCGACTCCTTTGGACTACCGAACGCGTCCGCAGGTCCAAGAATAAGACGCGTCGCCGGCTGGCTCGGCTCAACGGGATAACCGATTTAATTCCCTCCACTCCCGACTTTGGCTGAAACGAATGAAATATGTGCGAATCTCTTAATCGCGGAAAGGTTTAACGAGATCCGTAGACGTCGTAAATTCTCCCTTATTTCCAAATTAACCGAGCGGACGCGGGAGCGTTCTCTTATTTGCGCGCGGGACGAACGCGCGTCCACGTCCAAACTGACCGCCGACAATATTTTCTGCCGGACAAGCGTGGCCGAGCGCGCGTGTCTTGGCAGGCCGAGGGCAGGCACGGAGCAACTGGAGCACCGGAAGTGGCCATTACGCGCGAGGAAAATTAAGTCCGGCGCGTATAATCCAGTCGGACAGACCCGGCTCTCGCCTTCTTTAACCGTGACGCGCGTTCTCTGCTCGATAATCGCGCGCGAAACGAATTCAAATCGACTGCGATAATTTCCGATTGGATACGAGGGGGGAGGAGGGGGGGGAGGGGTGGGAGGGATAGACGTTCGATCTTTTGGATCAGTGAACCGAAACTGTAATTCGCAACCCCCTTCGCTCTCGCAGGACGACGTATCCATCAATCGATCTGCACCCGGGCTTTTCCACCCTTAATCCCGTAAAAGCGTAGAAACGCGTACACGGTTATGTTAGTTCAGTCGTGACGCGTAGAAAAATATACAAACAAAGAAACAAATAAATAAAAGTATGAAAAGCGAAAATGCAAATGGAACAAAAGGACCAAAAGCAGAAGCGAGTGCGAAACGAACGGGATACGTTTGCGATAAATCGTTCCGAGTTGCTCGTCCAAGCACGAAAACTACACGGGGCAAAATCTAGCGAACGAATCATTCGCGTTTCTGAACACCGTTTCCATCAATTTTTTCCTAATCCCGGACGACCTCGAACGGTTGTCAGGCGCAGTACGCGCCCGATAAACAACACGTAGGAGAAAACCGCAAGAGTGGTAATACTCTTTCTTCCGCTTTGACGAAGAATAAGATCTCGATTCAACGACCACCATCCGCCACCCACGCGCCTCTGTGCACGACGGCCAGGAAAGCGTGACGCGCGCCTCGGAAAGATGATTAATCGATCCGATAGGTTAATTAACCGATGCGGTTTCATTAGAGGGGTCGCCGCGTCCGATCGGTCCGATGACTGATGGCTATGCCGGGAATTTTCGTTAAATTCCCGATCGAGTCCGAGAGCTCCGCTGCTCTCAACTCGTGTCATGAATTTTGAGAGGCGATCCAATCGCGCCCACGCGTCGTCCCCGCATCAACAACGGACCTCTTTCCGTTTCTTTTCTCTCCTTCTTCTTTTCAATTGCTCGACCGCCCAAGCGACGTCGTAATTATCGCCGACAGCTTTGCAACTGGGTCAGGACCGTGGCTCGATCGCGCGTTCTCCTCGTTGCGTGGCCGCCGGTCGCGAGCGTAGGAATTTCTGCGTTGGACGACGACGGAGAATTCCATCGAGCCGCGTTACCGTTTCCAAACCAGCGCTCGCTCGCAATCGGACAATCACGCGGCCACGCAACACCACTCTTCGATTCACGTTGGCCGAACGATTCTCATCTTGTTACACCGACGTGCGCGAGAGACGAATGGAAAAGGAAAGTGTTCCGCGCCCGGAATCTAACGCTAATGGACGTTTTCCCGAGGTTATCAACGTCGCTCTGAAGACCGGCTGCTCTCCGACGACGAGAGCGATGCGAAAGAAACGACGCGGCGAGAGAGGATGCTGCGCATTTTCCCTCAGGCCGGCTGCTAATAGACTCATCAGCGAGGCTACTTAGCGAGAAGCTCGGGGAACGAGTAGCCTCGTGGTTACGGTACAACGCCGATCTCTGTATCGTGAGCGATCGTGACACGTACACACTGGCGAAAATACGTCGGCCAACGAAAATTGATGGAACCTGTCTCCCGGCAATCGCGTCAACCGCCAACAAAACAGCTTAAAAAGAGACCCCTGTGAAACTTTTCGAACGGAACCTTTCTGTCGCTTTTTTTCCTTTTTTTTCTTCTCTCCGTCGAGTCTTTCACGGCAACGGCGCACGGATAGAAGGCGAATAGAACGACAAAAGGCAGGCGAGACCAATAAGTTTCGATTCATCGGCACGGCATTCGAAGTTCGGGAGCGTCTACGGCACGCAAATAGAAGCTAAATCGTTTTCACCAGCGCGTCGGTGGGGAAGCAAGGAAGGAAGAAGCCTGGTCGCGCCCTTTTAAAGTCGACGTAAGTGGATTTTCGGCCAGAATCAGCGATAAACTTGCCGGCGTCGTCTCTCCGCTCCTTTCCCAGCCGGCTCGCAAACAAAATCAATATTTAATTCTGCCAACTTTTGTCGCTGCCTGACAACCGGATGAACGAAGAATAGAGCGGTAAACAGGAAGGAAGGAAGGAAGGAAGGAAGGAAGAGAGGAAGCTGTGGGGGAAACGGAAGCTTCTCTCGAAATCTTTGAAACTCGATAAAAGGCGTAC